GAGTCAGTTTTACGGAATGATTGGACAATGACTGGCTGGTATTCTTGAATTCTTGTGCATCTGTCAAATTCAGTTCATACAACTGGAGATCTTTTTACAGCTTACATTAGGAATGTGTGTGTGTGTGTGTATGTGTATGTATGTATGTATGTGTATGTGTGTGTGTGTGTGTGTATATGTGTATGTATGTGTGTGTGTGTGTATGTGTATGTATGTGTGTGTGTGTGTGTGTGTGTATATATATCAGTGTTTCTCAACTTTGGCAACTTGAAGACGTGTGGCAACGTCTTCAAGTTGCCAAAGTTGAGAAACACTGATAAAGAGAGAGAGAGATTTTTTCAAAGTTTACATTAGGAATACACACACACACACACACACGTTTCTTCAAGCATCTATTTGTTTGTGATGTTGCTTACTGTACAACATTTACAAACATTTCCCCTTAAAGTACTGCATTTGGAACATTTTGTCCCTGAATCTGGGCATTTCCCCTATTTTTTTAGCTGGGGGAGTGAATTTCAACCATCGGAAAAGCGGAAATTTCAGACGATACATGCTCATGTGTAATAAGGAACAGATTCACTTATAATGGGATAAGGTGTCATTTGAATATGAAGTACATTAGTTCGTCCCTAACCCTAAGGAGGTTAAATAGTGATTGCTGGGGGACCCTAGCAGAAGATGGTTATTACTCTTCCTTTCACTGGCATAGCTGTTGTATGACTGAGCAGCTAAACCTTTGGTATGATCCAGCCCCAAGTCTTTCATGCATCTTGAGTGCTTTCTGTGTAGAAGGTCCAACATTTTTGACAACTCTGGGGGGGCATGGATGGGAAATATCTGAAGAGATTCTATCATTGAGTGCCAGAGCAACTCTTGATTTTCCCCAGTGTGTGACAGTTCCTATTTCTTCTGCCACACACCTTACAGATGGGCAATCAATAGGTGAGGTGCCTATGAAATCACTGTATTTAGAAAATACAGGACTGCTGGTAGAGTGTGGTCAAAAAAGTCAAGATGGTAACCATGGTGGGGCAATCGAAGTCCACCTGTTTTTTGTGTATCACAAAAATGGGCAGAGCTTCAATCACACTATTGGGGCGACCATCTTGACATTTTTGACCATACTCTATGGATACCTGTCAGGCCCAGCCCAAGAACCACAGGGAACCGGTCCAGCTGAGTTCAGTTCCTTGATTGCCTACACCATATAGACAAAATCTTGCCAGACTCAATCTGTACTATTGCAACTAGTGGATGTACCCTGGGGGATTCTAGGGAGCGGCTATTCTGAACCTCTTACACTTCCTGTGCTCCTGCTCCGGACTGTGTTGTCTCTTGTCTCTCTGCCCTTCCTGGAATGCACCTCCTCCTTCCTGAGAACCTCTTCTGCAGTCCACCGCCTCTTTGTAGATACATTCCATCACAAAACCCCTGAAAAACCCATGACATGTTGTGCAATCTTCTCCATGCATCTGTCGAAGTATATTCCATTCCTTACCCCAAGGTGAATGGGGACGACCATCTTAATCAACTGTTTCCTGTTTTCCATTTTAGATTGCAGCAGGATGCAGGACACATCAAGGAGTAACAGCAAAACCACCCTGAATGCATTCGAAGAAATTTATGACTTGCCAGAGACTACCGTTTAGCTGCGCATGGGGCAATGTTAGAATGTGAAGACTTGGCTTCAGGAAAGCCGCGCGAGAGGCAGGATCCGCCCCAGCACTGTTCCTGAGCACGGACAGACTAGCATTCAGATGAAGAGGTGTGACACTGCGACACTACAAAAGGGTTGAGAAAGAGATGTCAGGAGGGAGAACAAGGGTCATAACCCATTTTCTCAACTTCGTGGGAAGCTGTTGACTTCTGTATTAGGGAATGAGGACATCACCCAAAGGGAATACATTTCAGATTTCAAGTGAAACCACAGTAGAAAATCTCCAGCCCTGACCATGTTGGGAATGATTTTTCCTCCTGCATTGGGCCTCTTTGCTCTGGCAGATGTGCCCAGACTAGAGGAAGCGAAGGAGCCATGGCAGGCATTAATAGGAGAGGGCTCTGCCTGGAGGCGACATCAAGCCAATTTTGGCTGATCTTGAAAACCAAGTGAGCTAGGGCTGGTTAGTCCTTGGATGGAAGGAAACCTCATAGAAAAACATCTGGAAGGCAGACCTTTTCTACATCATTGCTAAGAACAACACCTGGATGTGTGTACCAGGAATTCGTATTTGATTTGAAAGAAACATCACCTTTTCATGGGATATTTGTGGAGGTAGCACCCAATTTGGGGCATTTTTGTACATTGTGTGTGTGTATGTGTGTGTGTGTGTGTGTGTGATGTATAGATCTCCAAAGAAAGTTCTTGCCTTCCAAGTATGTACAGTATTTATTCAAATATTTGTGCCTTGATCCTCATGATCTTGATTGAATGGATTTTTTTTTAATGAAGTTTTGGAATGATGGTATGTTGGAGAGTTGCCAGAACAAATCTCTGCTTTTGGATCAGCACTTTAGAGCCAGATGGCTATTTGGGAAAAGTCTTCCTGCAGAAAAGCTAGAGAAATGGCAATATGCAGTCATCATTTTTCTGAACTTTATGACTTTGTCCAGGGATTTATCAGACCTGTAACTGTGTTTTTAAAAAAATATTTATTGCAAATAAGAGAAATAAAGTCAATTGTTTTATAAACATGTATATCTCACTAGTGTGCAGTTCTGTGACTTCAGAAAAGCACCATCATTCTCACTCTGAAAAGATATTTTAACTCTTCCCTTATACCTGGTTTTCTGATCTAAAAATGTCCTCTTGACTCAGCTGTTAGTGCTTTGAGTGAAACTAGAATTGCTTACAAGTTAAAAGTTCAGAAATGTTGGGAGATTTGGCCATAAAACTCCCTTATCACAGCTCTTCTTCCAGACGTGCCTCCCTTGTTTTCCCCAAATAGTTGCTCTTCTCTTAATTAATCCCCCACATTAATTCTGAATTACTCCAGTTCCCGATAAAGATGTTCTTGAGAACTCATTTATCCTGTGACTCAGAGTGCTATCTTAATAGTTGGCCACACTTCATTAAGTTAACTACAGGAATGTAATACCCTTTCACAGCACTGTTCTTGCAAATTAACGTGACAGTATTTTCTGTCAGGGGCATGTGCTAGGAGCATGATAGAGGCCCTCATTGGTCCAAAACTATGTTGTGATAACACCTTCATAGGTTTCATGAGATGCTCTCTCTTCTCCCTCTTCCAGCATCTCATTTTTCACCACTTTTCTTCAGGGCACATGAAACATGAAATAGACTTGCTCTCTGATTTAAAGAATAACTTCATGCTGATGGGTGTCTCCAGGGTAGGGTCAGAAAAGTCAAGAGGGTGACCACGACACACATAAAAACTGGTGGATTGTCCATTGCGCTATTGCAGTCACGATCTGGACTTTTTTGACCATAGCCTCAAGACCACCCCTAAAAAAGCATTTATAAAAACAGCAACTGGAAAGCACATATTAATCCGTTTATAATTGTTTGCAGGGCACATTGTTTTCCAAGTGCTCTATTTCTTACAATAAAAAAATTGACTTTTGGTCTAGGATCTACAATGCCTTCAGGCCATCTTGCATGAGAAATGCCAACTATACGTAGGCACTTAAGAGGAACTGAAGAAGGAAATCCAGGTTTAAGAGACTTTGAGCCCTTTTGCGCTCAATTTTTCTTTCACGGTTGTGACAAAAGCTTGCTGCTTTTCGTAATACGCGGCCTCGTTCACAAAGGTTGGGTAGACTGTGGTTTCTCCTTCGTATGGAATCGTCTTCCCTTCCAAAGTCAAGAACATGGGATCACCCGGATTGAGTGGCTGCCAGTCTCGATCCTATGGGACAGGAACAAGATAATCTTGCAGACAAATGTACAACGGATTGGATAAGGCTGTTTAAAGGAAGTCTAGACCAGGGTTGACAACCTTTTGGGCTCCGCGTGTCAAAAATTCGGAAAGTGCCTAATTTGACTCTGCTGGTGTGTCCCCCCCCAACAAAAGAGAAACAGTTCTTTACATATTCATTTATTTAAAAAAATAATGCAGTCCTGTCATGTGTGATGCTATGTATTATATAAAGAAACGTCAAGTAATTACAAAAATGAAATATGAGTAAAACAAACTCAGTTTCTTTGGTAACTCAAACAGGGAGAATTGTGGTTGGGTGTTGGTGAACACTAGCAGGTCACCCAAAACGTC